AGAGATGAACCTTCCGCCAGCTTGAGCGAATAAAGACGTTGCTTTAGGTACAACTTGCTGGTCAATGATTTCTGCATGCAAAGTTGCTCCAATTTTGCCCATAAAGATGCAACTGTTTTTTTTTCTTTCAATATATCCTGTAAAATTTGATTTAATAAGTGTAAACGAACCTGAGAAAAAGCTTTAAGATCCTTACGCTTTTCCTCATTCATCCATTCTGTTATCGGCTTCTTGTCAAATCCTTCTATTGGATCGTCGAGATCTAACTGTGCAAGAGCATCCCGAATCTTCACCTGCCATAGCGAGAACCTAATGTTTCGATCTAACAGCGGAATATCATACTTCATTGTTTCCATAATCTTAAACCTAAAGCTCTGTTACTAATTTGTTATAATATTATAACGATGATTATCAACAAACAAATAAATACGATCGAAAAAGAAAAACAAAGAACACCAGGATTTACGTGAAAAACCCAAAAGGGAAAAATCACAGTTAGAAGAGAATAATTTCACTAATATGAAGGAAGAAAATGGAAAAGGATATTGGTGAAAGAAAAAATTGATCTCTGAAAGAAAAACTTGATTAAAAAGGAAAACTAAATAAAATAGAAATCTAATTTAATAAAATTTTCTACTGTTAATTAAACTGGGTTTCCTACTTTCTCAATATTTATATATTAATTAATTTGTGCCATTTTAAATTCGAGTCAAACTCTAACACATTGCATTTGTGAGAATAAGCAGAAGCCAAACGTTAAAGTCCATGTGGAGAAACTCATGCAGACTTTCAGCTCGGATAAACGTAGCCCAAATTCAAACTCGTTCTCGGGCACCCCTTAAAAAGATGATCAACATTTTCTACGATATCATTACAAATCGAACATTAACTATCAGTGGTCAAGTGCCCAGCAACCCAAACATCGTTTGTAAAGATTCGGTTATTTCCAACAAGCCATAGGAAAATCTTAATTTTCTGGAGTCCTTGAAAACTATGAATTACTTTCCACAAATTGTCATTGATGGCCACAGTTGGACCACATCGTACAACATAAACTGAGATTATCGAAAACCGGCGATTATATAACACTTTTTACCCCACAGTGTCGTCAACTATTTCCAACATAACAGGACCTTGAGTTGCAGCTATATGGAGTAACACAAAGGAGTCGATTAAAATGGTTCCATAACCAGGTATCGTTCCCATCACCTTTTGCATTAATCGGGGAGTATTTTCATCCTCTCTCTTTTGCATTTTAGTTTTTGTTCATATTGGGGCGATATGATTTTAAGTGAGGGGTGAGATTATAAATTAAGTTAACTCTTGCTTATGCTTTGTGATTGAAATTGAGTTTCTAGGTTAGAATTGTTGATAATCTTGGTTGTCGATTTCTTGTTTGATTTAATTTCATTATGTTTCTTTGTGAATTCAATCTTGTTCTTGTTGAATTTAGGATGCAAGATAGCATGACATGACTAATTGATGAAAATTTTTCTTGGTAATTTCATGAATTGGTTGATTGAATTGGATGCATGACTTAGTTTAATAAACCTTTCATGTGAGTTTTAAGCTTATCGATCATATCTTTTATTCTTTCTATTTGTTTTCAATTGAGTGTACCGAACTAATTGATTGCATTCTAGAACTTGTAACTCGATGCTTGTTGAGACTACATATTCTGATTATGATGCTTTAATGTGATAGAGGCATTAGGATTAAACCCATTTCTCTTCCCAAACAAAATAACCTACCTTTTTATTTATTTTCCTTTAGTGAACCATTTTTTAGCCTTATCCTTTTCCTTGTTCACCACATTTTTTAAACCCAAGCCAATTTTATTTTCCCCTCTTTTTGTTACCCTTTTTCAGGTCAAAGGTGAGGTTGTTCCAAAAAAATGTTCTAAACAATGCAGAATCGAACAAGATAGTCCAGAAATTTACCATGTTTGAACAGTAGAAAAAACCAGTGCAGTTTGGTTTGAATAGCGCAAAAATTCAGTGAAGGAAAATTCAAATAGTGTAGTTTTGATTCGAATGAGCAGAAAAATTCAATGCATAAAAAAACATTTTGGTTCGAGCAGAAAAAAGAGAAAAAGAAAAAACAGAAACATTCGAAAAAAAGAAAAAAAGAAAAGAAAAAGAGAGTGAATAAAACTTTGTTGAATTTATTGTTTATCATTTCATTAATTTTTTCTTCCCTTTGAATAATTCTTCGAAATAATCTCAACTTTGTCTTGAATCCTTGAAACCCCATTTTCGACCTTTATCCTACCCGAACCTTAGCCCCGTTACAACCCGTTTTAAAGTCCTCTTGATTTTTGCATTATTTTCATATTAAGTAGTGGAGATTAGATTTTGTTGCAAGCCTATGATAATGTATTAATTAGTTTAGGCTTGAGCGATTTTTTCACCCGAAACACTTGAGCGAAATGAGTGAACCAATGCGAGGAACTAATTCTTGTATTCTTTGAAATTGATGGATGATTGAAATGTCATTGTTGAATTGCACTTAATTGATTATGCCTTGCTTGATTGATCTTGAATTTTGACATTTACTTGGTTGAGTTTGCTTAGAAATCTTTGAAATTCTATGAAATTGGAGTTGGCAACTTGAGATTTTTAGCATGATAATTGAGAAATACTTGAGGACAAGCATTGAATAAGTCAGAGAGAATTTGATTGGTGCTTAAATTATACATTATTTTGTGATTAATTACTCCTTGATTAGCTATTTTTAGTTGCTAACATGGACCTTTTTATTCATTTTCAATGCAGGACAACAGATTTCAGAAACGTTGCTAAAACTGATGAAATTATATAATTTTTGATTTTCTGGAATCATGACTGGATTAGTGGGCATGACTTCGCTGACGTGACATCCAGTCAGCAGCTTCTAGAAGGTCCACTCAACAGTGGCGTGAAGACCAAAGACTCAACCAAAATTTTGAGTTCAAATTAGAATTTATTTTATTTTTATTTTAGGAATTATATTTTTAATTTTAAGTGTATCTTTTAGGGTTTTTGAGGATTGTAAATACCCATTGGGTTAAGCCTCAATTCATCATTGAGATCATTCACTCTTAAATTTTATTGTTTCTTTCTTTAGTTTTATAAAATTTTACTTTTTCTTTTATTTTTCTTTCTTTTATTTTTCTTTCAAAGTTTTTTTTTAAAAAAAAAATGCTAAGTATGATTCTATCATACTTAGCTAAGTTTTTCATAACCAAATGTTGAAGCGATGACTCTATTCCTAACGCGATAATTGAAAAGCACCTCATATCTTTTTGGGTTAAATTCTCAATTTTCTGAAACTAGATTGGCGATCGTTCTTTCTTAAAATCAAAACATTTTCACTTCAAAAATAGATTTTGGCTTTGATGCTATTATGGTTTAACGTTGGGATTATAGAATCAATTGATTTGAATTCCCTTGAACACACTTAGCGATGGCATGGTAAGAGAAATTGGGATCAAGTTCAACTTTCATCGAGAAAGCATAATTCGAGTCGAGTTTTTCCAAGCGCTTCTAAAATGTTTTGAGTTAACAGCGATAGTCGAAGTTTATCTGAACAAGGATTTCCGATTCCTAAAATAAAAGTAAAAAAGTAGTAATAATAATATATTGTATACTATATATATTTTAAAAACTATATATTTTCAAAAAACTATATAACATATTATATTTTCAAAAACTATGTTTTAAGAAATTATACATTATATGTTTTAAAAAGATATATTTTCAAAATTGTAATATGCTTTAAAATATTATATATATTTTTCAAAAACTATATATTATATATATATATTCAAAACCATATATAGGATACTATATAATAGCAATCATTGGGGTGTATGTTCAATTTAAATATAAATTATTCAAATTTGAACACAACAATTTAAACATAAAATAACTCCAATAAATAAATTAAGATTATTCGAAATTAAAATGGTTATGATACAAAATGTTTCGTATTCGAAAACTCCAAACTTAATGTTCTATTTGGCATGAAAGATGATTATGATTATAAATTTTAAGATTGTTAAACCTCAATCACTTAATTGACCTTCTATCTAAAACTTTCAGTATTAAAATTCTATCCAACTCAACCCGTCTAATTTCCAGTATTAAATTCTATACTATTAACAAGAATTTAACGTTAAAGTGAAATCTCATTTTCTAAATCTCACAAATGATTTGCCGGAGTTGTTATGTGGTGCGGGGATTTCATTGCCAAACGCGGAAGGGAATCTGTAAATAAACGTTATAATTCTCAAATTGAAGCAAATAAATAAATAACAGATGACCATATATTTTCACACTGTATCTCTAATTAATTATTTTTTAAGAGTACGAATATAACCACATGATTATTCGAATCCTGATTTTAGTGATAAAATCAACTGTTGTTCTTTACAAAGGTATTTGAGTTCTAGCAACTATGTATATAGAGTGTATATATGGATTGTTATAATTAAGAAATTTTTTGAACAAATACTAACTTATAATAATCTCAAGCTATTAAAAAAATCACAATTATTCATTATTTTACTATATTTATTTATATTTTTTTTATCGACAACACGCACATATCTTGCAACCGCAACTATTTAAATCTAATTTTTTAAAGAAATTGTTATTTTCTTTTTATTACTAAGATTATTTAATATGTTTATAAATTGATTTTTTTAAAAGACCTAAATATAAACTCTCATACTATACTACTAGAATGTGAATCATCTAGGGAAAATAAAATGCTCTTATCCAATAAAACTGCTCCAAAAAATTCCATAAATTAAATTCTCTTTTTTTTATATTTAATATAATTTATTGTTGACTGAATTAATGATATATTTCAGTAGGGAATGCCCTCGTCGAATCCCCGGTTATTACTCTCATCTACTAACGAAATCCCTACACTTGCCATTGTTTTTATTTTCAACATCCAACAAAAGAGCCTCCCTTCTACCTCCATTCCCTAATCACTCAAACCCCACTTTTCTCCTTTCCAAGCAAGCAATGGCACTCTTAAAATTCACTCTCACTCTCACTCTCACTCTCACTCTCACTCTCACCCTCACTCTCTCCGTCCTCTCAATCTGCACCGTTGACGCTGCCCAGTCCCACCAACACCCTGCGGCGGCGGCGCCGTCACCCTCTTCCTCCCCCACAGCGGACTGCTCGTCTTTGATCCTGATCATGGCGGATTGCTTGACGTTCGTGTCGAGCGGGAGTCGGCTTTCCAAACCAGAAGGGACGTGCTGTAGTGGGTTGAAAACCGTGATCCAAACCGACGGTGAGTGCTTGTGCAAGGCCTTTAAGAGCAGTGCTTCTCTTGGTGTTACTCTCAATCTCACTAAGGCTTCCACTTTGCCCGCTGTTTGCAAAACTCCCCATTCTTCCGTCCCTAAATGCGCTTGTGAGTGACGCCTGGCTCTCAGTTTTTCCATAGAAATCATCGCTGTCGTGCATTTATTCATTAACCATGAAAAACTGATATAAATAAAAGCACGCGTCGTGTGTTTCAATTTAGAATTTATGAATGATGATTGATAAAGTGGGTTTTTGCTTTGGCAGTGTCTCTTGTACCTGCTGCTGCTCCAGGTACGTTTAATAAATCCAAATTGTTTGTTTCATTTTAAAGGTGTAAATATGCTTCTAGTCCCTCTATTATGTTAAGTTTTGCTATTTAATTTCTCTATTTCAATTTGAGATGAATCTAGTTTAGATTTGTTCATTCTAATTCAAATCCAAAAACAGTACATGATTAATCTAATTTAAATCTCGACTCAACCTGATTTGATAATAAAAAGGTAATAACTTGAACTTATTCGATTCGAATCAGAAATGATCCCGATTTAAAATAATATGAATTTGGTCATTATCCAAAAACGACTCGAATAAGTAATTCGGAAGAATAAAGATAATCTGATCTGAAAAATCTTGTTGACTGAAACTTAAATTGACTTGAAAAATAAATTGATCTCAATGTTGTCTGTCATCAATACTTTTATGTTGATAACTTTCTTTGGCTCATCCCAAATTCGTAAGTAGACTTATTTTTAAAATTCTCTGCTAAATTTGTAGGTGTGCAACCAACACCAACAGCAGGTTCACCAACAACCGGCTCAGGGGGAGCAAGGGAGGCAGCACTGACGCCGGCTCCTCCTAAAGCAGGCTCATCCGCGCTCTCGGTTTCAATCGGATCTCTTGTCGTAGGTCTCCTCATAATTATGTCAGTTTAGGCTGTGGGAGTAACAGTAAAATGTTAGTGATGATTTTATCATACGAAAGACCATTTTCATGTTTGGGCAATGGATATTGGTGATTATTTAGTTTTCCCTTTTGTGGGTTAATTGAAACTATGTTCGAACTTTTATGAAGTAGAGAGTAATTTACCCATTTTCATCTCTGATTTTAAATATAATTCCTGTACAGAACTCCAATAAAATACAACGAATCAACAACCAAAATCATCTATACACTATGCATGGCTAATCCTCAAAATATGCACACTATTGTTTACAAAATCATTCAATTTAATAATATCTCCTACTAATATTACCCTAAAAACATTTATTATAGACTCACAATTCTAATTCTTCTAATTCAGCTTCTTTATGCACGAACCAACTTACCTGTGTGGTTAAAAGAATCATTGTTATTCCAAGAGGTCACGGGTTCTAACAACTACAGTAGGGTGATTGAGCGTTCATTATCAAATGGTTGAGAGGTATATTTAGAACATATATTACTTTGTAATCACCTTAGCTTAATAAAAAAATTCAATTTGTTTATACCCTTGAAATTGTCACCTATTAACTTCAAAAATTTTAGGAGATGATAAATTTATAAAATTCTAGGGGACGAAAATAGATTATCAATTGAAAATACAAAAAGTATCTAAAATATATACTAATTTTTTTTTAAAGATGAGTACTTTTTATTGATAAGGATACAAGGTAAACCATGGACCTCATTAAAAAACCTCCCTAAACCTATTTGAAGGAAAAAGAGTGAACCATGAGGTGGAAAGAGCAGAAAGCCAGAGACTAGCTCCTGATAAAGTAAACACTGCCTAAGCTATAGGAGACTACAAAGACACATCAAACCTGTTGTTATTAAAACAACTACAAAAAGATTTGGTAACCCGCCGAGAAGAAACATAGACATTTTACCACATAACCTCCTAATTAAAGGCACCAAAGCACAACTCAACAATAACAACTTAATAATAGAACGACCAAGACCTTCGAACAAAAAGCGTGGAAAACAAGGGAGCTACACAGGCCACGAGTAAATCGATCAAAAACTCCAATCTGCAATTCCAACAGCTCCAGAACGAACAACAATCGATCCAGACCCCCTTATCCAGTCGAACAAAAAATCAGAAACTAATTTATTCTCAAGAACCGAAAGCAATCACCTAGAAACCCCAACAATACTCTAAAAAACGTCAAACGCATTACTAACGACAATAGCTTCTAAAGAGCCACCATTTCAGGACTAACAACCATTAATTCAAGTTGCCTACCTACAGACACTGCCTCATGTGCTTCAACAAAAGCTTCAACCCACCTTTGCTTTAAAACAGAATCTGATATAGATGTACCTGATAATTCAAATAATAAGAGATCCGATTTATTCAAATTAAATTTCTTCAGCGCTCGATCTCTTCTCCTTCTCTCAGCTTTAGATAGGACTTTACCCTGAATGTCCAGCATTGATATGAATTTCTTCAACTTCAATTTTTTGGTAAAGGACCGATACGGCAATACTAACGACTCCTCAGAATCGCACCCAACAGGAGACTTAGAAAAAGTATCCTCATCCGCTTTACGGAAAGGAATTAATTCTACATTCGAACCAACGACAATGTCCTTGTTTAACGGCCTATCCAAAGGTGTAAAAGGACCCTCAAAAGCATTTACCTCGTGTGCATCATCCAATGCCACTACTAAATCCACATGCATATTATAAAAAACCTCACCCACGTTTGTATTTTCCTTATTAAACGGACTGTCCAAAGACGGGACAGGATCCTCAAGAGCATTAACCTCGTGAGCAGCATCCAATGCTCTTGTTGAATCCACAAGCGCAATATTAAATTCATCCACCAAGTTTATAATGCCGTTCCTCTGACAGGTAAAGGAATGCGCCACCTTGGACAAGGTCACTCCATTATGCGACGGCGCCAGCTTTAAATTGTCATTATTAATATCATCACTTAAATCCACTATAGGATCCACTTTCGACAGAAAACTTCCTCAACCGCATTTGAAATGCCACTCCTCTGGCACGATGCAACATGCGCAGCTGCCCCATTACGAGCTGCCTGGGAATCTGATTCCTTAGCCCATTCATCTTTGAAACAAAAACCTACAGTTGCTTTCACAACAACTGAACGTTACGAACCAGCACCAGTACACAAGCCATCTTTGAACTCTTGATTCTTTGTTAGAACATTCTCCATATGAATGGAATCAATATTTACATGGGAAGTCAATCCGGCACATGTCTCCAGCTCGGGAGGCTTAACTGGCGTGGCGCCTTCAATCTCACCCACCGTAGAGACCGGGACAGCAACTGCCTCTTCCAACAGCAACGAATCTTCCCAAACAGATTCTGGGTTAAAACAGGGTTCAAACTCTGAAACAAATACAGTAAAGGTCCTATCCCCGACTATCAATTCAGCATTTTCTTCCACACGAGCTTGATGGTTCGTAATAACCTGAAATAAAACCCTGTCAAACGAGCTAGGATTTAAAGTTTCATCCTCTATAGAAATGAGTTCACCCCATTTTCCTGCTATATTTCTGAAGGTTGAAGGACTCCACACAAACGATGGGATCCCTTTACACGACAACCAAGCCCGTCGATTATTACACCGAATATTTTCCGACCACACTTCCACTTTGTCAAAACAGGTTTGCAGTGCCTCAAACTAATTGTTAAGAGTAAAATTCATACTCTCTTCATCTTCAAAAATGATTAAGATAGCTAATCCGCTTAATCTCATAATTCTCGGACGCAATATACCTTCTTTGTGCATGATAGAAGCCAACTCCTTCAATTTGAAAAATTTTCTGCACCAACCAACCAAACTATCTTTAAGAGTACAAAGCTTATCCTCATCAATAACGCCAACAATGGGGTCCTTGACCACAGCTGGTTTTGGAGCAGAACATTTCTTTCTCCAGAAGGCTTCACGAGGTTGAAATCTCGCCATAAAAACTCTAATTTTGTTGCCCTGAATCCTAGATCTGTCAGCATAAAAAATAGCCTTCCTCGCATCCTCCAATATGGTGAAACGAACAAAACCAAACCTGCTTCCTCCCTTGCTTCTTTTATTAGGGATGAAGGAATCAATCACCTCACCATATTTATCAAAAAATAGCCAAAGGCCTTGATGATGAAGAAACTCTGGGATGTTGAAAATGATAATCGTGACGCAGTCTTTCCCGACAGATCCTCTCACCTTGCTCGCCATCCTCAAATGCATGAATTTCATTGTTATAGCTGTTGTATTTAGCAGGTGGATTATGTTTTGATTGAATGCAAATTAAAACTGAAAATATATACCCTTCGATCTATCCTTGATTGTATTCCTTCCATATAGTATAAATGTATTCATTTCATCCTATTTTAAATATAACAGATAATAGTCTTTCCTTTCAAATTATTTGTGAAGATGCTAGCTCATGAATCCATTCAGCTACAAATATATTGTTGATTCTTTATCAGGAAAAAAAATTGAAAAGGAAGAAAATTAGACTATATTTCTTTGTTCATCAAAATTTGCAATTTAAACTAAGAAAAAATAACAACACCTTAACTCAACAAATAATTATTTATCTAATTGTATCAAGCTCTTAGAGCTTGTTTCAATTTATAAAAAGAAATCTTCTTGGGAAGAAACAACTTGTTTTCCTCTTCTTCTTTTTTCACAAAACTTTCATAATGTTCAAAATATTTTTTTCCTGTTTAAAAGGTTGATTTTACATCAATATGATACATCCTCTAATTTATTCGAGTAATTACAAAAATTACAAGTCTTATTGTGTCCAAATGAGAAATTGGTGTAAAAATTTTTGACCCTTTAGTAGTCTGTTTTGTAAGAAAATCGTGTCTTTACCTAGGTAAATTTTCTCATGCAACATACATCTATTAATTGATGTTCAATTCCAGCTTCTTCACAAAATGTATTAAATTTCATTCTTTGCCATTATTAGACTTCAATATTTGGAATTTGGCTGTCATTTTAATTTTTCACAATTTCTTGAACTTTCAAAATACTCCAACCAGTTCTAACTTAAATTTTAAGAAAAAAATCTAACAAATTATTGCGAAATCATTAATAAAAGCATTATAATATCGATTACCTTCTAATAAGAGTTCTCTAAGGTCGATAAATGTTCGCGTAGATTAAATGCAACTTACATGTGGCTCTCCATCATCTCTACTGCCAAAATTATAACTATTTTGTGTCATTTGCTCAAGCCACGAGTTGACCTTTGAGCTCACTAGTAGAAACTTTGATCAGAACAGAAGATTACTAAAAATAGAAGTGCTGATAATTTTTCAAAATATCAGAAAGCTTATGCAGAGCAAACTCCAAGGTGAGTTTACGTATCCGACATGGTTATGTTCGATTTTTCTCGATGTTTTATCATGTCGGATACAAATATGTTTGAAACTTGCAGGTTGAAGGAAAGAAGAAAGCGCCCGTACAGGATCCAAGAGTGTGACATCTTGATTTATGGCACTGTCCTTTGTGTTTTATTCACAAATAATCAGATCACACAGGCATATATGAACTGAGCGCAGGGGCTTAATAGACAACACATGAACAAGGCTGATAGCCTGATACAAACCAAGATGAGGTGGGAATTTGATTTGATTCCACTTCGAATACAGTTTCATCGTCCCGGCAGAGCAACGCGTTCCTTCTCTATTTTCTTTGCATATTATTATTATTTTTACTTGAAAGAGAGAAGCCTAATACAGTAAGCTAAAAAGCAGTGACTTCTTGTTGAGTTGCGTTTGCTTCCAGGCAAAGAAGGTCTGCAAGCTCCGCAGGTGGGTCTTTGCATATTATTTAGTTACGAATGAAGTTGAAATTTACTTTAAAAAAGACTATCTGTCAAGCAGTAGGTTTTTTTTTCATCTGTACTTGCAGAGAATAGTAGAGAGCTGCTTGATCAGGAAGTTGATTGGTCTCCTGGAATTTCAAAACCTTATCTTCAGCTCCAACAGAGTTTTAATGCAATTAATAAACTCAAACTTAACTTCTTTCAGCTTCCTGAACAACTTCAAGTGCAAAAGCTCGGAGGTTTTCAGCGACAATAATTTCC